TGTAAAAATGAAGAATGAACAGAAAAAAGCTTACCTGGGTTTCAGTATATTTACTAGCATCAGGACCATACTTTTGAACCAATTTGTCGTAGCATGTCATAGCACAGCGAGAAAGTTGATCCTAAACAAAGCCGCATGTGCAATAACTGAACAACGAAGACTGTGACAAAAAACGAGAAGCAAAATATACAAAAGAGGAAGGAAAGGGGGGAGGGAGGTGGGGGGAAGTATGTCAAACCTTTTATTCTACATTCACTTTTCCATAGGTGAGCAAATCCAGACGGAGAAATTATATTTATGTGGTGTGACTGCAGAACGCGCAACAGTTCCAAAAAAATGTTGTAAAGTGGTTGCCTAACTGGTGAAAGAATCTATTTTATTGGCGAATTAGTCTAATTTTTGACTTTTGTATGGAGTGCGACTACATCCCAACCTAATATAACAATAACAACAAATGTAGAAAAACTGGCACGGAAGTTAAGCAAAATAGAAGTCCATATATTAGCATGACGCTAACTCTCAATTTATTCACTTGGAAGAAGCAATTTGAAGCTTCTTTTGAACTGTTATTCTACATGTACATGTTTCCAGCATTCCTAAAATGAGAGCCCTAAGGATTAATTTTAATGTAGATTGAGAAAAGATTCTTCAAAATATGATACCGCATTTCTTCACAACGCTATTACTACTTTTACTTATTATGACACTTTTATGACCTAGTCTATATTACAATCGTTTGCTTCTACACCCGAAAAAAACAGGGTACTGATTGGATAGAACTGACCAAAAATGGAAGTGATGATGCTGACCGTGGCTATCACAAATCAAAATATCATTCAAAATCAATTCGATTATAGATTAAAGGATCAATGGAACAACCTGAAGTCCGCCGAGCTCCCTTTCTAGTGTTTTTTGGGCTGTTTTCATTCCACTATTACACTTTTCCACACAATTCTCAACCGCTTCGCGACTGCTCGTCTTGTGTTCGCAACATCTGAAACCAAAACAGATTTGAAAGAACTACCAAAATTTACGAATTCAGATTAATATGCTAATCACCGACTTCGCCGAGCAGAGAAACATTTGTCTCTGCATATCGCGCAAATAGTTACGATCCATATCATCGATCATCTCGTCAACAGCACTTTTCACCTTTTGTTGCGTGGCTTCCATCGATGAACTCGCCATTTTTGTTACCTGTAATCGAAAAAAAGATGGGAGTTAGACACTTCAAAAGGAGCAGAAAGTTATGTTGCATATGAATGCAGCACCTATAATATCCAGATGATTTGCAACTTGAGATTTGAACGAAACAACGTAACAGCTTCATTTTTTCTGACATTACTAACTTAAACTATATCAAAATCACATTCACGAATATTGTCCAAAAGGGGCAAAATTGACAAGGA